AAAAAAAAAAAAAAGAAGCTACCACAACTGTCTAAATGAGAAATAATGGGATGAAAAAAGTATGAAGGAAAGGGGAAGATGAGCTGAGAAGTTCCCAGTGCGATTCCACACTGGTGAAATGGCTGAATGAATAAAAGTAGGAGTCAAGGGATACTCCAATGAAGAGTTATAATGGAGACACCAGTGACAGTAATCATGGCACAGGGCAAGGCACATGGAGACAGAGGAGGACACCTGTGAGGTTCAGGATGAAATATTAGTGGGGCATAGAAGTGGAGATGCCTGGCAGGCAGGTGAAAAGAGGTTACAGAAGAGAGTCCATTCACTCACTTCTGCATGTACCCCCAGGCCATGCTCTGTACTTCTTTGTTCTTTGAAATCCCTTGACATTCAAAATGTATTACTTTTATAACTTTTAAATAAAGAAAAATGAGGGATAAGTCAGATTCAGCACATTTCTGAAAGTTCCCAAGGGAAGAATCCTGGAGACAGCAGTGTGTTTGTTACATTAGTTTCACATTGTGCTGGGAGGCACAACTGCTAATAGGCCTATGTGGCCTTGGGAAAGACACTGTGTTTCTGAGTCTCTGTTTTTCTACATAGAAAATGTAGCTAATACCTGCCCTATTTATTTTATTGCCGGTTGCAAAGATAAAATGGCGAAGCTGTTGGAAAAAAAATATAGCCCAGAAAAATGTGAAATACATTGATTAATATTTCATGTGCCAGTTAGTGACCCAATTCTTTTGAGCAATAATCAATAACGTCAAAATTCAGTCTAAAGCAGAGAATTTAGATGACCTTTTAGAGTTTACTTGAATAGAGTTCTACCTCTTGCAGCTGGGGTCCATTTAGGCATTTTATTTGATGCCTATGTAAGGAGTTTTACTTAAATGTAGTTGTATGAGACATTCTGTTGCAGATGGCTTTTGACAATAGCCTTAAATCACACCCTCAACCCCACCTATTTCAGGGTCAACCGGCAGGTTTGCCTGGGACTATTACAGTTTGTGCTGTCTCATGCAGTTGCTAAGTGTCTCAACATTGTCCTGGTTTTAATGATCAATTATATGATCACCATATTATGATTGCCTGTGGGGCATGGAAGGAAAGCTAGGAAGCCCCTGGCTTATGAACACTAAGCTTAGATCTTTCTTTCTCTGCCCCAGCTCTCCACTACTGGAAAAGTCAGTGGTACTTCTGGGAGAGCCATTATAAAAGCCATGGTCCTTGGAGACGTGGTGGACTCAGAGTTAAAAGCAGAACCAAAGTTGAGAAGAGCTGGTGTAACCTGCAAAGACCTCTCTGCAAGTTGTCCTCTACAAAGCCTCCTCCTTCAGACCATTGCTCTGTATTGCATTGCCCAATACAAGTGGCCTGAGATTTGTTTGGGGAAAATAAGCCTTCTATCTTTAGCAGTGTGAACAGATTGGGGAATGCTCATGACAATTCATTTTCCCCCTCCTAACACAGAATTGACATCTGCTTGTACAGAGGAAGAAAAATAGCTTGTGGGATAAAAAAGTTGGAAAGGAAAAAGTAATTTTGGAGCACAAAGAAATTCTGGGGACAATCTAGGGACAACTTACAGACACAAGGGAATATGAGGCAATGAGGGTAGAGAGGCAGAAGTAAGGGTGGGTGTCGAGCAATGTTCAATGGTTAGTTTGGGTGGGAAGAATGCTTCCTTGAGCTCATCCCATGTCTTTGGGGATGAAAAGGAATGTACTCTCTGCCACCTGCAGTTCCTTCTCTTCTTCCCCTGACCTTTATGGCCAAGCACACAAGATTGAAGTCAGTGCTATACTCTGTCTTGCACAGGTCTGGGACTGACACTTTTGTTTGCAGCATTGCTTTGGTAGAAATGTGTATTCTTGGGTCCAACCAATGGGTTCATCAAAACGTTTTGGGATACCTCCCTTTTTTAACTTGGAGACTGCCTTTATAAAACTTGGTCGCTGACTCAGAGAGATTCATAATCACTAGATTTAGGGAAGACCACTTAATAAATAGGAAACTACTGCAGAGCTAAATGCAACTGACAAAGTGAATTTATACAAGGAGGAAGCCAGGGAGGGATGGTATGTGTTTCATCGACATTTTCACACAGGACACCATAAGAGATCTTTGCAAAGATTATTTTCACACAGGACACTGTAACAGATCTGTGCAAAGATTATGTTTAAACAGCAAGAGGAGGGAGGAGAAAATTCTATGTAATTGTTAAGGGGAAGGATGTCCTAAAGGCACTCTGCAGAGTCTTGTGGACCCCACCTCCTTCTCCAGCTTTCTAGACTCTACCCCCTACTCTAGTGATTGGAAACTACAACTCCCAGCAGTACCAGAGAGAGAACTGCAAGGACCCAAGGGTGGAGCTAGCAGGAATTCTGGGACATTTGGGGGATAAATAGGGCACGATTACATCTCTCGCGCTCTAGCTCGCGCTCTAGCTAGGGAAGCAGCTCTCCTGACCATGTGACTCTGTGTGTTCAGTCAGCTTAGCCCTAAGGTATTCCAGTTACTTTGTATCCCCCTCTCTTTCCCTGGGTTGTTTCCTTTTCTTTTCCCCTTTTGTAAATAAACCCATTATTGACCCTTTTGTGTGTACCTGCAGTGTAACTGAACATTGAGCCCGGGGGGGCGGGGGGAGGCCCCACAGACAGGCTGTCCAGTCCACTCTGGGCTTCCCTGTAACATAATGATGGAATTCACCTGAAGCCAAGGTTTGGCATTTGACATGAGCACGGAAAGGGAAAGTTGGCCTGATGGAAGCAAAATGGCTGTCTGAAAAGCAGTGGGAAATTAGCTTGGTTAAGGTGAGATGTGGTCAAGTAGTTCTTAAACTTACCACTGAAACGTGCATATATTTCATGTGAATGAACACTTTGAGGCAATAAATCTTGACAGCATTTTCAGGTGAATGATTTAACCTAAGGTACAGAGGAGGCAAGGAGCATATCTTGAAAGATTGGGAGTCCAAATTAAGGATTTTGGACTTAGTGAAAGAGCCCATAATGATGTTAGTGAAGATGATTGATTGGGTTGGAACACTGACATGTGGTTAGTACACAGGATGAAGGAGAAAGAAGTCAGGGAGATGATTTAAGAAGCTGCTACAGTTGACCAGGGGTGAGAAGCTGAGTATCTGGGCAGGTACCCAAACAGTAGATTGGAGAGGAGACAAATCTCAGAATCATTGTAGAGATGGAAACAAAAGGACTTACAGATCCCATAAAAAGAGTCTGAGGAGGAGAAGGAGGCCCTTATGGGGTAATTTAAACATGATATTTTAGTGCTAAACTAGAAGTTCGCATTCACATGAGGCTTCCTATCTGTGCATTCTGCCATTCTCTTCCAGTGAACCCCTTTTCCAAGGAAACTGTATAATAGATGGATTCAGATTCATCAAATGGAAGTCTTAAAGCATTTGTTGTTCACTCACCTGGCTTTGCAAAATTAGTTTAACGATTAAGTGCTGTAAGGTTTCTAACCCAGAAGAATAAGCCCTGAGTTCATTCTACTCCTAGTTTTGTTGGAGGGCAGTAAGAATTGACAGTGCTTCAAAAAAGTGTGACTTTTCTGGAATTTGCTCACCTAGAAATGAATCCTTTCTTTGCTTCATAATCCCTGTGCCCTTCCTGTGAACTCAGATCTCCTGAGAAAATCTTACAGCACCAATTTACTAACCTAATTGGAGGTTAGTGAATTAATTCTCTTATATGTTCATAAAAATATTTGAAATTAATTTAGCCTTGTCAGCTATTATTTTCATAGGCTATGTTCCAACTATGTCTCCCCCACTATAATTTTTTAGTAAGAATGATTTTAAACAATACAGCTTAGAGAATTCATGTACAAAGGGCCTAAAGAATTTAAATATGTGGGTTTATTATTAACACAGTAGCAAATATATCAAGAAAACACGCCCCATAAAAGTGTTTCAAAGAAACACAAATCTGCTCTGGGAAAGGTTCGGACCCAATAAGTAAGCTCGAAGAGCCTTGTTTGCTTGGTGATGCCAGCCGATAAGCCAGGCAAACCACTGCGGTAGAAGAAGCCAGTCTGAAACTCGGCTTAGCACAAGCAAGCTACTGGCCCTCGGCTGCGCTCAGTGAACTTCAGCATGATGGTGTTCATGTTCTGGAAGGTCTTTCTGATCCTAAACTGCCTGACAGGTAAGGGAAGGAGCTCGGAAGCTTCAAGATAATTAGGAATGGAATGTTGTTCCCTTTTAAACTGAAATCACAGAATTTACATAGAATAGATCCTTCCTATACTTCAAAGGACTTGTGATTCCTAGGCCGCATAAAATAATTTCTAGAACTCTTGTTTAGTAAATATGAAGCATACTGTTATTTTGCATAAAATAATTTCTAGAACTCTTGTTTAGTAAATATGAAGCATATTGATATTTCGAGAGGCTTGCAAAGCAAATTATTTTATGTGGCTTTTGAATTCAATTTTTCTCAGAAAAATCACTGGTTTTTATTTTAGTTCGAAGGTGCATCTGTGAATTTACTAGAAGGCTGATTGTGCTAAGGATACTACTTTTGTCTCTGTTTTAATTGAGTATTACTTTTAAGCTCACCTTGATCCACTTGCTTTGCCAGAGCAGCCAGAGCCTGGCTGAAGGGGGTTGGGGGGTGGGGGGGTGCTGGTGAGCTTTGCTTGCTAACATTTCTTAAGGAGTTGGCCTTTTCCAGGACTAAAATCGTTTTTTGGAAAATTTGTGACTGATTTATCATGGTGCTAAACATGGATGTTTTTAGAGATTTGAGTAAAACAAAATCATTTTTAGAGTCAAAATCCTGACGTGGGTTAGACTCAGAAGAAACCACTAATTAATTCAGAAAAATCCCTTGGCTAGTTTTTACAGATACCAGATACGTTTTGAATCTGTTCTAATGATAAATTAGATCCACATGAGATACAATAATATTTTTTGGTCCATAATTATATTTTAAATATATTTAAATGATATATTAAATGTTGTTGGTAGTAGCAGGCAGTCATTAGAATGAGGTTTACTTGAGTGTATTTGATGACACAAGAAAATGCTTAGGATAAAATATGAAGTAAAAAAGCAAGATCTGCACACATGCCCACAATAAGTTACTAGAAAGTTATATACCTAAATGCTCATGGTGATTACTTTTGGATCATGGAGTTATAAAGGATTTTTATTTTATTTCACAGCTTTTTCATAATTTCTGGGGTTTCTACAAAGAGCAATATACTATTTTTATGATTAGAAAAACGTTACTTTTCAAAACTATGTGCTTTCCAGTAACACTTCTCTAAAGGTTCATTACTAATGTTTAAATGTACCCTTTCTCTGGAGTCAGAAATCATCAGATGGTAATGCCGTATTTATTCAGTGATCTAACTGGGACTTAAAGCTGGAAATATTCATTTTATACTTTAACTTTTAGACAGTGAATATCTTTATTCCTTCTAAGACTTGTCATTAGCTAATTGGGTCTCCTGTGGGCCTTCTCACTCCCCAAACCCTGCCAGATTTCAGCACCCACTCGCCTATGTGAGACCTTATGCTATACAAAACACCAGGTTTGAAACAGTTGCAAGAATGTTTTTGCTGTAATTTAAATGACTAGAGTGGCCATTGGAGGCTGAGAGGAGAATGGGGGGTGCTGGTAAAGGGTACACACTTTCACTTTTAAGATGAATAAGTTCTGGGATCCAGTGTTCAGCATAGTGACTAGAATATTGTATATGTCTATTATATATGCCTGTAAATTGCTAAGAGTAGATCCTTTATGTTCTCATGACAAAAAAAATGGTAATAAGATGATGTGATGTATGTGTTACTTCATGCTATGCTAATAGTCATTCTGTATATAAAAATGGATCAAATCAACACAGTGTACATCTTAAATTTAAGCAATATTGTAAGTTAACTGTATCTCTATAAGGCTGGACAAATAAAAGAATGAATTGCCAAACTGAAACACAGAAATGATAACTCATAGACATATTTTAAATGAATTTTCTGTATAACAATGCAAAATAGATTTTCATCACAATCTTCCTGATGGCTTCTCAGGTAGGCTTAGGTTAAATTTCCATTTCAGGAAAATAATTTTCACTCCAAATGTCTTCTGTAAAATGTACATCACAACATTTTAGATACTTATACTATATATTGGAATGTATGTTGGAAAGAAGTTAATGATTTCATTTCTGGAGGTATGTGCTATGTATTTTAAAGTAGTAATATATTTGAATTTTGGTTTTGTAGTCAAATCCAAAAGGTGAGTGATCATTTGTTTGTATTGTGTCCTAGTTCAGAGTAAAAAAATTAAACAAAGTTACAGAAAATTTAATCATTTCAAATGCATCAAGCTAAATACAGCTATGTAGGGAGTAATTTTGTTGAGGTATATTAGAAGAATCAAATCTCCCTATAAGCAAAGTACCTGCCACATTGTAGATGTTAAGTTAAAGAACAATACATAAGCATCTAATTTTTTTATGCCTTGGGTTCCATTAATAATAAGCACTAATTTTAAAATCAGTCCACACATTCACTACATATGCATTTTGATTGCTTTTATTTTAAATTCAGCCAGGTTAGTGAGTGGAATTCCAATTTAGCATTTTTTTTAAATCAGGTATTAATCTTTATTTCGGTATTGATTTAGTCTTATTGTTGTAGAGATTTTTATTTCACTATCCCCATAAATACTCAATTTAGATAAACAAGTTCAAAAAAGGAACTTTCCCCCTGACACAGAATAACCTTCAGCTTAAGACTAAATTTGAACTGTTCACTAGCTGCACACAACTATCTAAATTTAAACTAATTCAAATTAAATAAAATTAGGCACTCAGTTTCTTTTTCTTCATGGTCTGGACTCATTGCCTCACCTATTGTTCACTATGTATAGAACACTGTTCAATATTCTCAAAACTACGTTGTCTCACAGTAGATAGGATGGTTACCCTTATGCATGGTAATATTTTCTTTTTTTACAGTTTACAAGTGATTTCTATACGTATATTCTATTTTAAAATGCTGAAAATGTTGACATCAGATTTATATTTCCCAAGTCCTTGAATTTTCATTTGCTTGCATTCTGGGCTGTGCTATAAATGGTTTCCTGCTGCACTGACAACAAGCAGAGATTGTTTTTTGTATGACTGTTTCCCCAGCGTTTAGCACGTGGACATAAAATAGGTGCTCAACAGATATTTGTTGAAAGTCACCACGGCCGATTGCTTTGTGTGAGCACTGTGATTAACTTTGCCTTTAAACACTTTTGCCAAGCGCTGCCTTTAATTGGTTTTTATGTTTGCTTATTTGCTTTACCTGGTCATAATTGGCCGATCCCATAGTACATAATGGGAACCAAACTGGAGAACAAAATGATGGCCAAATAATAGCTTCAAAATCTTTGTTTCTGGGGAAAGCTACTTGAAACTTTAATAACCACCTAATTCTCATTTGATCTTTCTATTTTGGACACATTCAAGACATTTGGAAGTCATTGATTAGACAAAGCCAGAGATGGGGCAAACATCCAGAGAAATGAGATGGGATGGAGCCACATAGCTTTCTCCAGTGAAGTTTCTGCTGGAAAGAGTAGCTGATTTCTAATGACTAAGGTTGCATTATTGAAGGATTCATTATGGGAACCAGCAAGGCACGGAGAGGAGAGCACTGGGATGGGTTAGAGGCTGCTGCTACATTACTGTCTACCCTAAAGCATTTCTGTTAATTCCTCAAGACATTGGTTGCTATGTAAACAGCCAACTTCTGGCAGAGAGGCAGTTGCACCAGGTGGCCTGGAATTGACAGAAAACATGCTGCTAAATCCAGGAAAATGGGGGTTGTCAGTACAGTTTTTTCTTTTAATGTTTTCAAAATATTTGTCAGTTCTCTGAGCTTCTTTAGCTTGACTGTTGTCATTAAGTAACATAAATAAAAAAATAAATACATAAATACATAAAAAAGTCTTTGGCTACGAAAAATTGGGAAGGAGGCCAGGAATTGTCTTTCCCTCTTATTTCCTCTGACTCTCATCCCCCACCCCTTTTCTGCAACCGGGCAGGCAGCTAAGGCTCTCATTACAGCCCCACTGCAGCATAAAAAGCATTTACTAACCGTGACCTTTGTGCTAATCACCTACCCAACAGTCTTTTGTCCCATCCTGAGGAATGTCTATATTCTTGGACTTTACAAAGGATAAGCAAATGCCCTTGTAGTGTTAACCTAAATATTATTCCTTACCAACCCTTTGGAAAATTATTGTGTAATACTGAAGATTTAGGGTATGGTGCTAGGCTGGATTTTTGGGTAGGAAGCTCTTTGGCCAGAATTTCTCAAATGTTGTGGGAGATTTCTTAAACTCTCAGGAGATTTTTGGTCTGGATGAGATGATGCAGACTTGCTTCTCCTTGTTTCTTCCCATTAAGAGCAAGTATAAATAATTCAAGAGACAATCAAGAGAGAACTCTGAAAGATGATAAGAAAGCTAGTTCAGGAGCCTGGAAAGAACACAGAAGTAGGGTGTCTTATGACATTTCCTGATCTTAACCTAACAACACAGGGCAGTCCAGGGAGGTTCCAACTTCTCGCAGATCAGATGGGACACTCTGACATCAGGTGAGTACACACCCCTGGTAAGAGGGAGTCAGAAAGAACCCCACCAATAGTGGGTAGAAGGAAGCCTTCTTGTTCCACCCCCTCAAGTACCAGATAAATGAAACAGAACCAAACAACACTGCAAAGACTCTGAAAATTATACTGTCATTAGAACTAAAGTAGGCCAAGATGTGTATGTGAAACATAAGTAAAACGTAAGATTAAAAAAACTGTATACTAAAAGAAACATCAAAATAGGAGTTTCCCAACACAATAGATAAAATATCTGTGGACTTGGACACATGTATAATGACATGTCAGCCATTATATGATCATACAGAGTGTGCTTATTGCTCTAAAAAAGTCGAGGTACTTCATCAGTTCATCCCTCTTCCCCCCATCCCCTCCTCCATCCCAATCCCTGGCAACCACTGATCTGTTTACTGTCTGCATATTTTTGCCTTTTCCCAAATGTCAGAGTTGGAATCATGAAGTATGTAGCCTTTCCAGATTGGCTTCTTCATGTAATAATATGCATTTAAGATTCCTCCATTTCATTGCATGACTTGACAGCTCATTTCTTGATAGTACTGAATAATAACGTCTGATGTACAACAGTTTATGAATCCACACACCTAGAGAGAAACATCTTGGTTACTTCCTAGTTTTGGCAATTATAAATAAAGCTGCTCCAATCACTCATATACAGCTCTTGTGGGGAGGTAAGTGTTGAATTTCTTCGAGTATACTGCTGGACAATATGGTAAGAGCATGTTCCCGGAACCGAGAAAGTCTTCCGCAGGAGCTGTACTATTTTGTTTTCCATGAGCAATTAATGAGTTCCAGTTGCTTTACATAATCTGCAGCATTTGGTAGTGTCAGTCTTTCAGGTTTTGGCCATTTTATCTTTTTAAAAATGTATTTGTTTATGCACACAAGAACTTGGGTACAGGTCAGAGGTGGGGTGGTGAGAGGATTCACCAGACAAAGAGTGGGGAGCAAAACCGGCAGATCAACTGAAATATACTGCTGAGGGGAGCAGTGGGCAGGAGAGTTCTGCTGAGCAATGTGGGTCACCCACTCCCCGGTTGGTGGATTGAACTTGTGCTGCAGTGGCTGCACTTTAGTGCTGTGCTTTAACTCATTGCACCACCAGGGAGGGCCCATTTTTGGCCATTTTAAGAGGTGTGTAGTGGTAACTTACTGCTTTAATTTTCAATTTCTTAATGATATAGGATGCTGAGCAACTTCCCATATACTTAATTGCCATTTGTATATCTTCATTATTGAGATATCTGTTCACCTTTCATTTCCTCATTTTAAGATATGGTTGTTTGTTTTATTGTTGAGTTTTAAGTGTTCTTTGTATATTTTGGATTACAGTCCTTTTTCAGATCTATCTTTCACAAATATTTTCTCCCACTCTGTGACTGGTCTTCTCATTCTCTTTTGCAAAGCAGAAATTTTTTATTTTTAACAAAGTCTACTTTATTAATTTTTTCTTAAATAATTTATTTACATATATTTAAATCATTGTTCATTTTTAAAAAATAATGTTTGCTCTTACCAAATAAATAAATAAAAACATGCCTTTTGCAGCAACATGAATGGAGCTAGAAAAGATCATGCTTAGTGAAATAAGCCAGAATGAATAGGAAAAATACTGGATGCTTTCACTTATAGCAGGAGTATAACGGATTAGGCGAGAAAATAATAATAATAATGAACAACTATATACCAGAGACATTTTATGGGGGTGGAGTGGGGAATGGGATCAAAAACGGTGGGGGGAGGGAAATGCACGGGACTATGGTGATGGCACAGGGTGATTTGGTGATGGGAAGCCCATGGGGATGACAACGTAGATGGAAAAAGGCACAAAATGATGTAAAAATAAACTATTATAGTATTTAAAAAAAATAATGTTTGCCTTCTCCTCTGAGGTGTAGTCCCCATAGAATTCCCACCACCAATACACTTATGGGCCATCGCCATAGTGTCTTGTGCTCTTCCCGCACTCATTTTGATCCCTCCTGCCCATCTCCAGAAAGTCTCTGATGTACAGTTGTCTGTTTATTTTTGCTTTGATTTGTTGTTTTTTATTGTTATTACTTTTTTTTCTGGATCATGACAATTACATTGAAAATCTTCACTGAATTCAATGTCATCTAGAGTTTTCTCCTAAGAATTTTATAGCTTTACTTTGTTTTATTCTCTTTTTTTAAAAAAAATATTTAAACTTTTTTTTTTTACATTATTCCTTTTTTTGTGCGTTTTTCATCTCAGTTGTAATCGCCATGGGCTTCCCACCACCAATTCACCCGTATGCCATCACCACAGTCCAGTGCACTCTTCCCACCTCAGTTCTGATACCATTCCCCTTTCCATCCCCATAAAATGTCTCTGGTTTATAGTTGTTCATTGTCTTCATTTTTACTCTATTACATTTGTTTGTCCCCCTTTCTCTCTCCCCCCACCCTCCACCCCTTACACTCCTGCTTTGAGTGAAACCATCTGGTATTTTCTTTTTCTTTCTGGCTTATTTCACTAAGCATGATCCCTTCCAGCTCCATCCATGTTGCTGCAAAAGGCACGAGTTTATCTTTTTTGATTACTGAGTAATATTCCATTGTGTATATTACTACCTCTTTTTAATCCAGTCTTCTACTTTTGGGCATTTGAGTTGATTCCATGACTTCCCTATTGTAAATAGAGCAGCAATAAACATGGGGGTGCAGGTGTCCTTTTGAATCAGTATTTTTGTGCCTTTTGGGTAGATACCTAGTAGTGGGATTGCTGGGTCATATGAAAGCTTTACTTTTAGCCTTTTGAGAAATCTCCAAACAGCTTTCCATAGTGGTTGTATCAGTTTGCATTCCCACCAGTAGTGTAGGAGAGTTCCCTTTTCTCCACATCCTCGCCAACATTTGTTGTTACTAGTTATTTTAATATGTGCCATTTTCACTGGTGTGAGATGGTATCTTACTGTGGTTTCAGTTTTCATTTCCCTTATTGTAAGTGATGTTGACCATTTTTTCATGAGCCTGCTGGCCAATTGCATTTCCTCTTTGGGAAGTGTCTGTAGCTTTTCTGCCCATTTTTTGATGGGGCTGTTCGCTTTGTTTATGTTGAGTTTAATCAGCTCTTTGTGTACCATTGTGATCAGTCCTTTGTCATTAGTATGTGTGCAAATTTTTGTGTGTTGATTTTGTATCCTGCTTCTTTACTAAACTGGTTTATTATTTTAATTAGCTTTTCTGTGGAGTTTTTAGGGTGCTATATGTTGATTATCATATCATCTACAAAGTGATAGTTTTACTTCTTTCTCTATTGAATTCCTTGTATGTCTTTCTCTTGTCTTATTCTCTGGCTAGGACTTCCAGTATTGTATTGAAAAGCAGTAGTGAGAGTAGACATCCTTGTCTTGTTTCTGATCTTAAAAGACAGGTTTTCAGCTTTTCACTTTTGAGAATAATATTGGCTATGGGTTTCTTGTCTATGCTATTATCATATTAAGGTATGTTCCTCCTATCCTGAAATTTTCAATGCTTTGTCATAAACAGATGTTGAACTTTGTCAAATGCTTTCTCAGCATTGATTGAAATGATCACATGGCTTTTATTTTATTTTTTATTAATGTGTTGGACTCTATTAATTGATTTTTGGATGTTGGACCATCCTTGTGCCTCTGGAATAAATCCCACTTGGTAGTGGTGTATTATCCTTTTGATACATTATTGGATTCTGTTGGCTAGAATTTTATTGAGAATTTTTACATCAGTGTTCACTAGGGAGATTGACCTGTAGTTTTCCTCAATTTTTAAAGAGTTTGTGTAAAGTAACTCATTTCTGAAAGTTTGCTAGAATTCATTTGTGAAACCATCTGGTATTTTCTTTTTCTTTCTGGCTTATTTCACTAAGCATGATCCCTTCCAGCTCCATCCATGTTGCTGCAAAAGGCACGAGTTTATCTTTTTTGATTACTGAGTAATATTCCATTGTGTATATTACTACCTCTTTTTAATCCAGTCTTCTACTTTTGGGCATTTGAGTTGATTCCATGACTTCCCTATTGTAAATAGAGCAGCAATAAACATGGGGGTGCAGGTGTCCTTTTGAATCAGTATTTTTGTGCCTTTTGGGTAGATACCTAGTAGTGGGATTGCTGGGTCATATGAAAGCTTTACTTTTAGCCTTTTGAGAAATCTCCAAACAGCTTTCCATAGTGGTTGTATCAGTTTGCATTCCCACCAGTAGTGTAGGAGAGTTCCCTTTTCTCCACATCCTCGCCAACATTTGTTGTTACTAGTTATTTTAATATGTGCCATTTTCACTGGTGTGAGATGGTATCTTACTGTGGTTTCAGTTTTCATTTCCCTTATTGTAAGTGATGTTGACCATTTTTTCATGAGCCTGCTGGCCAATTGCATTTCCTCTTTGGGAAGTGTCTGTAGCTTTTCTGCCCATTTTTTGATGGGGCTGTTCGCTTTGTTTATGTTGAGTTTAATCAGCTCTTTGTGTACCATTGTGATCAGTCCTTTGTCATTAGTATGTGTGCAAATTTTTGTGTGTTGATTTTGTATCCTGCTTCTTTACTAAACTGGTTTATTATTTTAATTAGCTTTTCTGTGGAGTTTTTAGGGTGCTATATGTTGATTATCATATCATCT